ATAAAACTTCAAGAAAGAGTTCTTAAAATTCCCAAATAAAATTCATAAATATTCCTATACAAGAAAACCGAGTCTTTTCTACTAGCGAAGGAAAGTCGTCGGAACCGGGCTTCATAGGGTGGATACGTTTAGAGGGAAGACACCTGGATTCCTCTAGCGAGTAACCTCAAGTCGTTGAAGTTACAACCGGGAACCGATTCCCTCATCCATCATCAATAGTGAAGGAGTTCAAGACATTCGGTAAATATTTTACTAGTATTTACTTTATAGTAACAAATCAAAATTTGTATATGATGCATGTTTTAAAGATGACGATCAGTTAATTTGCAATTAGTATGTACGGGTGTTGTATTTATACGATAAATACTTACTTTAAAAATTTTAAATTCCGCTGCGTACAACCCGTACGGTACTGTCGAACCCAACAATTATGTTATTCATAAAACAATTGGAATAATTACCTGTTGATCATGAAATAGGATATGAAAAGCATTCCGATGCTCCAGATCGTGATGAGTTTCAATCAATCGGACTACTCTCAACCTCAAAAAGGGTTTGTTGATCAGTTGACGGCGTGGAGGTTGTCCCAAACGGTGTCATAATGTTTTCTTTTAATTTTGTATTTTGAGAGTGTGTTGCGCGTTATTGATAAGGTGAATAAAAAAGGGTATCAATGACTACCCTTTTATACACTATACATGTTTATCTCAACCAAAATTGTGGGATGATTTTGTTAGGATGTAACCAAAAAGAGATGAATCTGTTTTATTTTTTAAACGCCGAATACCCCTTTCTTGCGTGTATTACGCCCTAACTAATGCAGATAAATAAAGAGATTCAGTTGCAATATGGAATCATAATTCCAAATCACAATTTCGCTTTAAAAAATTGTCATGTTACCCTAACTAATGCAGATAAATAAGGAGATTCAGCCGATTCATGCAATCATAAATTTCAAATCACAATTTCGAATTTTACGTTTTAAAATTTGCCATATTCCCCTAACTAATGCAGATAAATAAGGAGATTCACGATTTTTTTTCAGATTTTTAATGAGAATCCATAAATAGAAAGTCAAACAGTCAACTCAATTATTTTAGGTTTCTAAAAAAGATTTTTACATCAACCTTTTTAGATATATATAGATTGTTTCCATAAACAAACAAACAATCTCATTTAAAAATTGCACTCACCGTACGTGGGTGAAAACTATTCATCCAATCTTCTTCCAAATGAAAACTTTCTCAAGAATTCCCATCGAATTTTCTCCAAGACTTAATTTCAAATATTTTGTTTTTTTTGGATTTGGGAACTATTTCAAAAAATTTTTACTCTCCAAGACTTGATTTCAAATTTTTTTGTTTTTCCGGGAACTATTTCGAAATTTTTTTACTCTTCCTCTGAATCGATTAGAAAGCATGTCAATGCGCCTTTTCAATTTTCAAAATTTTAATGTTAGACAAGCAACGTGAATTCAAAAAATTTTGGTTTAATTTTTGCAAGCAATTTGTCAATTTCTATCAGCACGCTGGAATTTCGATTCCACATAGGATTAAACAGATCACGTGCCTGTTTCCGCCTAAATTATGAATTTCCGACAAGTCGAAGACATTTTAGCAACCTTTTTCTAAACATAAGGACAAAGATCAAAACTGCTATTCGAAGGAGATGACTTTGTTGCCTTTACGAAACATACATGACGAAAAATGGAATTTGATCATTCTCCCAACAGAGAGGCACAACAATGCCAACTGACGGAAGTAAATTGATATGAAAAAGGATTGTACATCCAACAAAAGACATAATCATTTGTCCCATTTTATTTAGTGTGACAATCTCACATAAGATAGTAGTAAATCTGAATTCCAATTTTTCCAAACATCATTCCACTCCAGTTGATGTGAATGATAAAAGCACATATTGGATCTCCCTTTAGCGTGGAACCCAACACAATCTTGTAACTCTTTGATGACCCAATAGCTGCGTAAATAATAAAGTTATAGATTAAAAAAAGAGTGTAGAATCCAGTTTTTTCAAGAATCATAAGGCAACATTAATGTATGCACAGATCTTATATCAAGTAGAAAAATGTGAGGATAAGCACTGTTTTGGTCAGTAGTAAAATGTGTAAGCCCTAGTGAAAGATTGTGATCCATCTGCGGTGTTGGTCACTGATGATATCGTGAGCTAACAGAAATTGCGAAAATTGTTCATTGACTAATGGACAAAAGCTTGGTTTATCCCTGGAAAATCACATGTTGCACTCACACCTAAGAAGAGGTAAAATGAAGAGCAAATCGAGTTATTGACTGTGGGAAATTGAAAACCAGCTGCCATATTCGTGCTGAAATGTCGTTATTTAGATTTGCACAATGTGGTGTCTAGTGGATGATTTCCGTCATTGCTAGAATAAGATTTCAATTTTACCCTCAAGCAAGCAAGATTCAAAAAGTAATACATGCATGCATAAGGTGGAGATAGTTTCACCTCAAAGAAATCGAACCTCTTTCAGTTAGTTCCTCGAATCTTGTGGCGCGTCAGGCTGCTTTCCGGGCATAGCATCTTCGAAGGCCGGGTGCTCTTTGTATGACTCACTAAGCTTTGCCAGAAGAGGGAACTCATTCTGTAACAATGAAAATTGAACTTGAGCTAATTAAGAACAAGCAGAAAACACCAATGCATGATAAATGCAAAGGAACTATTTATTGATGCATGTTAAATTGGAATCTAGCACCACACAATTATTGATGCTTGATGAATGCAAAGGAACTATTAATGTCGTTGAACATTGGGTGTGAAAGGAGAACAATGGTGTTTTCAGGCATTGAACATATGAAAAAATCCTGCATTCAAGTGGTTCTTATGTGCTTATACTCCCTGATAATAATTCGTACCAACCCTTGAGAAAAACGTGCAAATAGTCTGATCAGCTGATGGAACCTTTTCACTAGAAGAAACATATATGATTGGGTTCACTAAAGGCTTACCATGTTAATATTGAATCTTTTGACTGCACCGTCAATCTGAGGGGCCAAAAACAAATCAGCCTGCAAAAATTTTAAACTACAGTAAAAAGTCTCCCACTTACACCAGATGAGCAATGATTAACTTAATACATGAATCTGCTATAGTTTATGCAGATATTACCCTAGACGACTTCAGTGACAGTTTACTATATGGCGATGCAGTGTACAAACGCCATGTGTAAATATGTAGCGATTGTAGGATACTACCAAAACCACAGGAGTTGAAAGTTACTTTTCTGAGAGGGTATGAACTTACAAGCTACAATTAAGATTCAGCAGAAGTTTTTCAAAAGGGTTCTTTCAAAATTCAGATATATTCACCATTAAGTTTTGACTGGCTAAACTGTGATTGTGGAAAAGTGACAAACCAGAAAAACTTCATCTCCCGTGGCATACTTCCCAGCATATTTTTCCAGTAGCTGCTCCAGAGCTGCATTTTCACTCCGAACCAAATAAGTATATTGCTATAGTTAGTGTAAAAAAAGAAAGAAAAGAAGCTGCATTTCTAGGCGTTATTACTAGGATTTTCAAGAGGACGACTAGATAAAGAATACATATACTACTGAAGGTCCTATTAGCTAATGCTTTTTCATTCAATGGAACAGCATACAGGATCATTCTACACTATTAAACAAAACAAAATCAAATGATAATTATTTAATGACATCATACAATGTGTTTCCTTCATCAAAGTACTCTAGCTGCAGCATTATGCCACTGAAGCTGCATTTTCAGAAGAGAACCATATTATCTTGATCAAAATTATGGTCTGGCTAGCATGAGGTTGAATGAGAATACAATATGCGCATTTGCTTGCAAATTCCCTAGCTATGTTGGTAAACAATGCCAATATTTGATGAATAAGAAGCTGCATGTCAAATTATGAAATGTTTCTTGGGGCCTGTCATAAATTAAACTAAAACCTAGCATGGGTCCCCCAAACTTCATTTTGAAATGGCTACTAATCCTTGTCATACAATAAATAAGCGCATTATGGTCATAGCTTACCGGAAAACCCGTCGTTTATACGATTCTGAACCCAAGCAAGCATCTCATCAGGGCCAAGTTTTTCTTTTATATATCCCTGAAATAATAAGATAAAGTATTCATTTATCAGTCAGATCCTCCTGTTGGGACTTGGACTGGAATCAAAAGAGTGATTATACACTCACAATAACAGGTAAGTTGTGGTAAGGCTGTATGCTTCCACAAATAATATTTGCTGCCTGTATGAGCATGACAAGGAAACCATCAGAAGCAAGAACTGACAGAAAAATTTACATATTAGAGAACTAAGTAAAACTAGATTGGCAAATCAAGAGAGCGTTGAACTTTAATTCATGATATGTGAAATAAAACAGATATTGATGATGCCATCCACATAAATTCAAATAGACAAAACACACGTTTCTTTTTCTTTCACCCTTTCTTGAGTATCAAATGTGCTTGGTAGGATAATGAGCATTTAATCGACTGCATTCAACAGAATCACTTTATTAGATAACAAGAACACAAAATTTAATTTGATTTATCAACATTTACTTCGCAGGTTTTCCATGTTGTTAAATATACTATAATGTTAGTACAGTTTCATCGTTATTTGGCTATTTCATCCTAAATCTGCCACCCGTCAACCAGAAGACAAGAAGGCAAAAAAGAGGGAAAAGTATTTTTCAGAACGAAAAAATATTTATAAGATTAATTTCGGGAAGTGATCTAATATAGTACTTATTTCTGTGACAACATACTTTCCCAGGAAAGTGTCACTAATCTTAATAATCAGTACTAGGCTGCCACTGAAAGAGAGTGACTCACTAGCGCCATTCTCCACTCACATTATTTATGAAAAACAACAATTCTTTCTCTGAAACTCAAAATATATTAACGTTTGGTATCCCTAACCTAAATATTGCACTCATAGTAAAAATCATCAGAAAACTCACCTGGTAATTCAAGGCCTTCTTCTGAAGATCCTTAGGCAACAATGGCCGTTGAGGATACTTCTCTTCCAGATACTGCACATTGGGAATTACTTACAATCATCGACTTTAATCATACACTCTAAAAACAGAAATTCTTAATTATAAAGTCAAATCGCAAATGAATGAAGACTCTTGCCAGCAAGATTGCAAAAGAGTCTGCAACAACAACATCGCCATCAACAAGCACCGGTACACATCCGAGAGGATTAAGCTTCAGAAACTCTTAAGCACCCACCAAAAGAAAAGCCAAAATACGTTATATAAATACATAAATATTGCAAAATTGTTATCAACCAACGCTTCATATAATTCATTATAAAACATATGAAATAAAAAATCAATGGAAGGTAAAAGGAAAAAGGCAACAAACCAGGGGCTTTCTGTTCTACTTTAAGCAAATTAACCGCTATGTACTCATAGTCCAGTCCTGTTAATTTCTCAAACACAACAATAACAAAAATCTTGAAGAGCCCATAACAAATGTTCAGTAAAATAAACAGAAAAAAAAAAAAAAGAGAAAGAATTAAACAGAAAGAAAATACGTTTGAGATTGAGAGCAATTCGAACGCGGCAAGAGCAAGAGCTCCGCCAGTAGGAGTAGAGCTTCAGCTTCTTTGACCCCTCACCAGCGTCATTCGCCTAAATTTTAATGGGGAAAACAAAGCAGATAACTTAAGGCTGGTGTTGTCTGGTAATATAACGAAAAATTAGTTAAAAGAAGAAATTGTAGAGATTGAGGGTCTCTCACCATGATCAGCCTCACTGTAGAGAGAGAAATCGGAGACGATGAAATGTTGGGAATGAGAGTTGTATTAATTAGAAACAAAAAATATTGTTATAAAAATAGAGGGAAAATGGAGATTATTTGGACAAAAAGTTGCGTTGGAAGGCCATTTGCACCATTTACGTCTTTGACTGGCCTGCCTAAATGAACGCCCCCAATTTTGTACATTGGCTTTGGTAAGCAAATATAATTATTCTTTTATTTTCTAATTAATAAAACTCTTCTTCCCAACATTTTATCGTCTCTGTTTCTCTCTGTGCAGTGGGCTGATCATGGTGAGAGACTCTCAACCTCTTTAGTTTCTTCTTTGAACTAATTTACTGTTATATTACCAGAAAATACCAGTCTTAAAGTTGTCTCCGTTGTTTTCTTCATTAAAATTTAGGCGAATGATGGTGATGAGGTGTCAAAGAAGCTGAAGCTCTACTCCTACTGGCGAAGCTCTTGCTCTTGCCGCGTTCAAATTGCTCTTAATCTCAAACGTATTTGCTTTCTGTTTAATTNTCTGTTTATTTTGCTGAATATTTGTTATGGGCTCTTCAAGATTTTTGTAATTGTTGTGTTTGATAAATTAACAGGACTGGACTATGAGTACATAGCTGGTCAAATTGTCCTGAACCGCTGGATCGCCTCTCCTGAATCGGTTTGTGTAACGCCCCACTTTTATTTGTAGAAAATCAGAATAAATTTTTCAAATTTATTTCATATAACACTTGAGGCGTTACTTATTTTCAAACGGTTTATCAATACTTAACCAATTTTCAATATCATTCACCAATACTCAAACAATCATCAATAATCAAGTCATCCTAGGGATTACACGCCCTTTCAATAATCCAGTAACCAATAATAAAGAAAACAGTAATAGCAATATTCAATTTTTGGCGGAAGCAATATCAATTATTAAGACCACCACTCGCATCCCCTCGCCGTGCCCGCAACACTAACCTGCATCCATAAAGAGCAGGTGGGGATGAGCACAATAGGAAAATCGAGGTGCTCACCGCTATGCCATAATTAATATTCGATAATCAAGAAAAAATTTTAGGTATGGTCGCAGCATGTATACGAATCAATAATCATCCCATCTCCTATCAATAATCAATAATGAGTCTCATGTGCACACCTATAGCAATAGACTACTGCCGAACTATATACCGAACGCCTTATCTAAGGCCTTACAATGAGTGTCCGGCCAGCAGGAGCAATAATCCACCCCGAATGCCAAAACTTGCGCCTTGGCCTTACATACGAGGATCACCAGCCAAGGCTCACGCCCTAACTGCCAACAATAATAAAGGAGACTACCCGAAGGTACGTTCTGTAGCTACGGGGTCCGGGGATAACCGTTCGACGGCCAATATAGCTCACATTGAAGGTTACATGGTTCACATGCATACATTGATCATACCACAGCAAAAGCAATTAATTAAGGCATAACAAATTTCACAATTAAAACCCACCTGGAAATTTCGGTAAGAAATTGCACACAAAATCAAGTATGTAGGATGAGGCTCGACTCCTCAAACACCTACATTTAAGTGAGATTTTAATCAATAATTTATCTTACTACTCGACATTAACATATAAGTCACGCTTAATCAAAAATAATGATTAATAGATTTTATCGGATTTTTCGTGGACTTGGAACTCTCATATTTTTTTAAAGGAAATGACTCGGAGGACTAAAATAAAGTCTCGGGACTTAAAATAATTTTTACCAAATTTTTATCATTTTGAAAATATTTTTAAAATTGAAATCGGTATTAAAAACAGACTTTCGGAACTCAAAATAGCAAAACTGTCGCACTTGGGCCGTGCTGGGAAAAGCTGCCGCGGGCATGGGCTCACACATGCGCAAATGGGCCAAATTTGAACAAGAGATGGGCCCACAAAATTTCACACCAAATTGGGCCACGCAATAAGGCTGGAAAACTTGGTTTCACGCGGGTCCACGGGCTGCGCATGCTGAGAGTACTTCGGGCCTGAGCGGGTCTGGACGCGGGCTGACATCACTGACCGAAGACGGGCCGCGCGCGGGCTGGAAACGGGCCAAGCGGCCCGCGCACCTTGGTAACAGCCTGGGCTGGGCGATAAAAAAGGAAGGGCTGTTGGATGCGGGATTCGAACAAAGTACCTCCCACACGTAGTAGCGCCTAGAGAACCACTGCACCACGAGCTTGGTTGTGATTTATAAAAGAAATCTTGGCTATAAAAATCGAATTTTAAGCCTGGGAATATGACCAGAAAACAGAGACATAAAAATATCGAACAGGGACTTGAAACTGGCATACAGGGGCTGCGCGACTACGAAGAGGGCTGGACAAAATTCGACCGAACTTGACGACAAAATATCCAACGGCTACCAGGGTTCGGGATGTAAATAAATTTACCAAAAAAATAACACGTTTTCGGAGTGTTGTGTACAAATTGTTATATTTTACCGAGTACCGAATCAAGGATTCGTTTCCCGGGTCGACCTCTCGAGGAAGGCGGTTCGGAATTTAGCTTTGGTAATGATAACACACAAAAAGAAGATAAAAACCTAAACACTCTAATCATAAATGAGGAATATATTATCAACTAATAAATCAACAGCAAACAAAAACAAACGTAAAGTACGAACTAGAAAGCGATAAAGAAGCTAGGGAATCGGGGATAATTTATTCAAGTTCTAAGCAAAACCGGGCAATCAATTGTTCGGTTCGAGATTGACACTCTCGCTTAGACATATAGCGGTTCGCTCCCAATAACTCTTCGTAACAAGGGATTGAACATAGACGAGCTAGCTCGAGCATACAACACATGTCAATTATCCTAGTCTCAATAACTTTTCGTAACACGAGACGGGTCATCGGCAAGTACGTATTTCAATCCAAAACCTCTAGACTATTCAGTTACGAAATCATCCATCTCATGCGAGCCTAGGTCTACGACTTCTCCCCTTTCGGTTCTAAAAGCCGCTAATTCAATTAGAAGGTGTTTAATCAACTAATCATATAGAATCAACAAACCCTAACTCGACAAATTAACATTCAATTGATACCAATTGCAAGATCGAAGTGTCACCCTTCGATTATATCAAGTTATCAAGCAAGAATTGATTAACCCTAATTAAAGCAACTCGCACAAGCAGGAACAAATTAAAGCCCAATAATAACGAAATTAATCAAGAACAATCATCCCCTATCCTAGCAAAAGGAATTAGCTACATAAATCAAATTCAACAAATATAATCATTCTACTCAAGTCAACCATTATTCATTAATTAAACAAGAGAAAGAAATACTTACAATCAATCCAAGTTTAGATGTTGAATTCGAATTACAAGCTTAATCCCTAACTAAGAAAAAGAAGAAGGGAAAATGGAAAATAATGATTAAGAGAAGAAAAGGAACGAGGAAGAAGAAGAAAGAAAAGAGGAGAAAGAGATTTTGTGTTTTCTCGGGACCTAGGGTTTTCACCCCAGTCGAGAAGTGTTCAAACCTCGCCAAAAACCCCTTAAAAACGAATCTGAAAACTGATTTTAAAATCCTGCTGTCGTGACCTCCGCGGCCGCGGTGAAGGAAGGTCCGCGGCCGCGACCATCTCCGAGGCCGCGAGCTCGACTGGCCAGCAATGGAACGTTTTGGGCTGTTTTGGGACCCTCGCGGCCGCGACTTATCCTTCTCCGCGGCCGCGGTGACTAAAACTGGACAGCTTGCACGACTTTGCCTCTCGGGCCCGTTTGAGTTCGTTTCAACTCGGAATTCGATTCCGCTTTTTCCTGTGTGTTCCCAACGAACTTCTCTACTTGATTAGGCTTGCCCAGCTAGTATTTTTCCGAAATATTATTCTCCCGAGACTTCCAACCTACACACCAACGACGACGAAAGAAACGAAAAACGAACGGAAAAACACAAGAAAAACCAAGAAGAGAGCAAACGCTAACTAAACTATAAAATGAACTAAAACTCATCTGAACGACCTAAAATGGGGAAAAAGAAAGACAAAAAGACAACGAGAAACGCAACAAAAATGGGACAAACACGGAGATCGAACCTAAACAAGTATCGTGCTTTACTCGGAAAAACGGAACGACAACACACGGATGAAAATACTCGAAACAATGGAACGAGACTCCGAAATTAATAAACGAAACTCCAAATACATCACGATTAAACCACAGCGACATACAAAGGCTCAATTTCGGAAACGAGAGTTCCAATGGGTCCACTATAACATATACGAATAAATAAACGAACCGAAAGACTAATCAACGATTATCGATTTAAGGAGCGAATAAATCCAACCACATGATATACGAGCATGAAAATATAACGAGAAGGTTCGCCGAATACCTCTCTTCTGGAATTGATGAGCTCGGTTGGCAAACGAGCGAGACGAAGGGAACTCAAACGAGCAGACCAATCTCCCGAGATTCGAACGATTGACGAAACTCCTCGTATGTTGCGTTGGGCTGTTGTGTTGCTCTTCCACGAACAGGGCTGATTGGAGGTAGACGGGAAAGAGAGTCCTCGCCGGAAAAGATGGTGAATTCCGACGACGGAAATAATAATTTTTTTTTTTTTAAAAGCTGCTGCGATTTCAAAAAGCTTATGAGGGAGAAAAGTTTTCTGATGAGAGGTTTTCTCTCCTTGGCGGAGTTATAAGAGCTCAACGAGAGATTATTGCGTGAACGTGCGAGAAAATCACAAAAGAATCGCAACAGACATGGACTCGATGGCTGCGTGAGGAAGAAAGAGGAACTTATCTGATTCGATTGTGCACGTGCAGTGAGATAAGAGAGTGGGCCAAAGCTAAAATCATCTCAACTTGGGCCGAAAATTCATAAAAGAATTGGGCCAGGAATAATAATGGTTTTGGGCTGATTTTGAATCAATTTGAACCAAAATAAAATCTAATAAAATCCAATAAAAGGCTAGAAACAAAAGGCCTAATATCCAATATAATCGGGCCGAAAAATATTCCCGATAAATTTGGTCGAAAGAATTTCCACGCGATAACGCGATTTCCCGATCGATTCGATTGACGACGAATAACAAATAAAAATTAAGCGACTTATTAAATTAATTAGACTACATCTAATTAAATCATAATAAATGATATAGCCACATAAGGATAACCCGGCTCAGAGGCTCTTTACTCGACCGGTGAACCACTTGAACAACTCGCATGTCGACATGACTCCGTCGACATGCTCAAATCGACTTCCCTAAAGTCGATTCTACAGAGAGCAATCGAGAAGAGACAGAAATCGGTCTAGTCGACTCTCGCAAGTCGACCTTAGCCTATCGACTTTCACTAGTCGATATCAATAGCGGAAGAACAGCAAAAGCATAACTTCCAACCATCCAGATACTCTAAGTCGACTCGCAGAAGTCGACATCGCTAAGACGATTCTCTGAAGGCGGTTTTCACTCAAAAGAACGACAAAGCGTAGCCTCCGGATATTCATATGATCATGAGTCGACCTCCCAGTGCTCGAGGTCGACTTCTTACGCCTCGAGGCCGAGAACGTGGTGACGATTCATCACACTTGCGGCATACTTAAAGTTCCATACATTACCAAGGATAAGAAGGAATCTTGTGATGACTCAGCATCAAGGGGAGACGAATCGACCAGGGCATTTTGGACCTTCTAGGTCCACCGACTTGGGCATTTTGGGCACTTCAAGTAAGTATTCACTCCTTTATAAAGGAGGTGAGGTAACCCCAAACCCTAACTCTCATTCATTCCCATTCTCCCCCATAGCTGCTGCGCAACATCTCTTCATCACTCTCATACTGACTTGAGCGTCGGAGGCTCTACGCCGGAAACACCTCCGGCGTTGAGTTTTTGCAGGAATCTCGCGGTCTAGCAACAATCCGGAGGCGGTTCAAGCAGATCTGAGCTCACATCCACCGGTTTACTCCAGATCTGGAAGTAGACCTAGACATGTCCACGGGTCGAACCGGCCCGCCGAACCGGCCCGGACCCGGACCGAACCCGGCCCGGCCCGAACCGGACCCGGCCCGGAGAAGCCGGTTTTCAAACCGGAACCGGACATCTAAAGGGCCGGTCCCGGGCCTTTTCGGTCAAAAAAAAACCCGGCGGGCCGGGCCCCGGTCCGGGCCGGTCTCACTCCACACACCTCACTCACTATCTTCATCTATCTCTCCCAAACTCCCACACTCTCTCAATCTCTCTAATCTCTCCATTACTCCATAATAATATCTCTCCCTAATCTCTCTCCCACTTTAATTAAAAAAAAAATATATATCTACTTAATTTTTAATATAAATTTTACCTAATCTCTCTTCCTCTCCCTAATCTCTCTTCCTCTCCCTAATCTCTCTTCCTTTTTGTTTTTTTGTTGTATATTATTTTTTAAATTCAAAATGTCGAGCTTTTTTGGTCGTGGCCGTGGTTCGAAGTCCGGGCCCTCCGGGCAAAAGCGGCAACGGGAAGGCGCATCGTCGTCGACACCTCCATTGCCCTCATTTGCGAATCCAACGATACATGTAGATGTCCCGGGCGTGACCGACGATATAGATGCCGCCACAATCGATCAAATGTTCGATTTCGTTCAGCCTCCACCCTCACACGAGGTGGGCCCAGAGCAGCCGTACGAGGACCATCTCGACGATCTATTTGGAAGTACTCCTCCGGATGAGCAGCCACAACAACCCACACAGCCGGTCCGAGTTGTCGGGGGCGGTAAAGTCAAAACTCGGGATTCCGTCATGTTCGACCGACATTACACGAAGGCTCCAAATGAAAAGAAAGGAGGTGATCCTTATTTTCTGGCTATTTGCAACTACTGTCCGGCCAATTCGAAGACGAAGTATCAGTTCAAAAAAGGCGACGGGTACGGAACGTTGACCCGACATTTGAAGAATGTTCATCCGACAGTAATGGGAATCGACACGGCACAGACGCAATTCCCAAGTAGCAGCGGAGCATCCGCCTCAGCCACTCAAGGTGCAGGTACGTCTTCTTCTTTATTTCATTATTCTCATGAAAATCATAGACGTCATTTAGCTGAATTTGTTTCTGCTTCGTCTCTTCCTTATAGTTTTGGTGATAGTGATTTATATGAAAATTTTGCTCAAATGGCTTTAAATCCGTCTGCCAACCGAGTTCCTCGTACCACCCTTACTCGCGATATTCGAAAAATCGTGAGTGAGAAGAAACTAATTTTAAAAGAAAATTTTAAATCTTTAAATCATAGAGTATCCATTTGTGCTGATATATGGTCCGATCATTGGATAAATAATTTTTATTTAGGGATTACTTGTCATTGGGTTGACGATAGTTGGACTTTACAAAAACGTTTAATCGGTTATGTTGCATTTCATGAACGACACACTGCTTCTAATATTGCTCGTTTAATTTCAAAAATCTTAGATAATTATAGTATTGGTAAAAAAGTATTTTCAATTTCATTTGATAATGCGACTGCAAATACTGCATCTATACGTGAATTAAATGATGTTTGTACACCAATCTGTGGGGGTAGATTTTTTCATATTCGTTGTATATGTCATGTTTTAAATTTGTGTGTTCAAGCTGGTTATCATGTTTTTAAGGATTCTGTAAAGCCAATAAGGGAGGCCGTCAATTATTTGCATAAACGTCCCCAAGAAATGAAAGCATGGGGACGATTTTGTAAGAGTGTTGGAATTAAACCTAAAAAATTCCAGCCAGACGTGCCTACCCGGTGGAATTCAACATTTAAAATGTTGAATGTCACCGCTGATTATGCCAAGCATTTACAGGATTTTTTTAATGATACAAACCGTAGGGATTGTGATGTTCGACTTTCGGTGAACGATTGGGCAAACTGTTCGCAACTTACAAATTTTTTAGAAACATTTCAAAACGCTACTAATATTCTTTCTGGTGTTTACTATCCTACTGCTCAACTTGTGGTCAGTCAATGTATAGCTATAATGTGGGGTTTTAAAGATATTTATGACTTAGATCCTTTTAAATATTCTGGTCTAGTAGAAAATATGTTAGAAAAATGGCTAAAATATTATGACTATATTCCCGATACATTTTTAATTGCATGTCTGTTAGATCCTACAGTTCGTGAGCAAGGTTTGTTAAATCAACTTAATATGTACTATGATTATATGTATCAATTGCCACTGCCGAGTGGGGTCCCGACTTACAGGGACAAACCTAACATACCGCAGCTCGTCGAGCAAGCAAAAAATTCTTTGTATGACATGTTCAAGGAAACAGCGATCGCACATGGAGAGTCTCCCAGCACATTTGTTCGTAGCAGCGGCGCAAGCGGCAACGGGTCTTCATCTTCGTACGGAGGGCAAAGCGGCAATACAAACTTCGGAAACTTCAAAGTGTTTTGGGATTCATTAAATCCCTACAAAAACTCGGGCGGTCAAAGGGTGCAGGGGACTGGATACTATGAGCTGGATCACTACCTTACGTCGAATTTAGCCGTTACGATTGCACGTCCACCTCAACCGCCACTCAATTTCGATGTGTTAGATTGGTGGTCAAGAATGGGAGGAATTTTTTCTATTCCATGCATTATGGCCAAGGAGATCTTTGCTGTCCCAGCATCTACAGTCGCGGTTAAGCAAGCATTCAGTGAGGGCGGCTACATGCTAGATCCACGACGGTCGAGGATGACGCCTGATAATCTTCAAGCACAAATGTTACTGAGTGATTGGAAGAAGGCCGAACGAAGGATGCAAACTGCTATGCTCACTTCGAATGAGGAGGAGGACGACAACGACGATGCATCCGATTTTACGTCGTCGACAAGTGGAACCGGGGGGGACGTCGAAGACGAATACGAATATTAAAGGTATGCACCCAAGGTATGTGATTTAGAAGAACTACGTGGACTTTGATTCCCAAATAAAGGGATACGTAGGCACCTTATTTAACATTATTAAGTTCGAGTATAATTTTTTGGCAACAAAATTTTTCATCGTACACGATATTCGAACTTAATAACTGTTAACTAAGCTCAAGTCCATTACATTAATAATTTTTTTCTTTACACTTATTCGACTTCATTTGACGTACAATTTAGCATTTCTAAACTACCTCAAGTTGTACTTCTCCGCCATACTCAATAAAATACAACACCGTTAACCGTTTGGTTCCAAGAATTGACGCCCGATCATTATTTTTGTTTCATTTTGAAATGATATAGACAAACAGACTCAAAAACTTATATTTTCGAAGTATATACAAACTATTTATTCAAATAAACATTAATATACATTAAAATAACAAAAAAAGTAAAAAAAAATTAATAAACCCGCAAACCCGTCGGGCCCGACCCGGAACCGACTCGACCCGCCGGGTTTGCGACCCGGCGGTTAAGGACCGGTTCAGTGAACCGGCCCTTAGTTACAAGCGGGCCGGGCCCGGTTCAGTATACGGTGAACCGCCGACCCGGCGGGCCGGGCCGGGTTTCGACCCGGCCCGGCAAATGGACACGTCTAAGTAGACCCATCATATTGGC